CGTCAAACTAATTACGAGTTACCACTTATATTTGATGTCAAAATGATTCCGAATTATTGAAGTTTCACTGTTTATATACGTATGTGTGTATATAGATATCTTGTGTTTCTTTAAATGGAATTATAAAAAAAATCTTCCAAAATTGTATTTTTTGTTTGCATATTTATTCACACAATTCAATGTACTTACATAGTATAATATTTTTTGAATACATACAATTATTATGATCAACAATAATTATCAAATAAAATGGAAACAATATCTGTGTTTAATTTTCTTAATAATTCTTAGAAATTTTATAGTTGTCGAGGTTGGACAAATACTTCGAAGGTAAATTTTTGAATTAACTAAATTTAATATTTATATTTGGCACTTTGTTCATTTGCCTTAAAGCGGCAATAGATGCTACTTTACAGAGCCCTGGTAAGTATAAGGCCACCGCATTAAAAACTTTTTCCGAGCTGCTTCAATCGAGTCAACTTCGATATAATTCGTATATTTTTCCTCAATTTATTGTTCTTTTCGTTTGTTTAATATTTTCTTATTTGTATTATTTTTTTATTTAAAAATCATTTTTTGCATAACTATAGTTAAACTTTAATAATTAAAGATTTTACTTTTGTAGATTTATTGTTTAAATGATATTAGTTGTATGTACGAGTACATATATGCAAAAATGTATTCAGTAGCAACAAATTATTATTTCTATACTGCGTTTTTTTTTAAACTTGGAATAATTTTGCATCATAGAAACAAAATTTTAACAATGTTGTAGAAATTTAGACATACTATGATTTTCGAACGTACTTTTTTTATCCAAATATTCTATTTTGGTAAATTTCAAAGTTTTGATTTGTTAAAGATATTTTGTACTAATTCTAAGTTAGCAATAATATATTAATATATCTAATATTTTCTTAATATAGAAACATGTTTTCAGTAAAGGTTTGTGTTAAAAGGAAAATATGCTTCGAAATTGGTCAATTTAACCTATGAAAATTTTTCTTTTAAATGGCAATGAGGAAGGTGTTTGCCAATTGATTTTCTATAAATTTTATGAAATACATTTTTAATAAAACTTATTTTGAATACAAGCTTCCTTCTTTTGGCAATTTTTTTTTGTAAAAATTAAAATAAAACACCAAAATTTTTCTATAAAAAAATTTTTTTACGTATTTTTAAAAATGAATGACTTAAAACGTAAACAGGACGGTGATAACTTTTTTTTCTTCATACAAACTCTATCACTATAATGAGAGAGCAACTCACAACAGAGTTATAGTGCCCTCTTACCAGGGCAGCGCTTTTTTATTTATTTTTAAGTTTTCTATGTTATGTTAACTATTTTTAGGTTTAAACCTTTTTATGAAAAATAAGGAAAATATATAAATAATAATAATAATGAAAATCTGATGTGGTCAGCACATAACCGACCGCATTGTATATTGTCTAGTTAAGTGAAAGAGTTACAGAATATTATAAAAATGTCTGTTAAAAACTTCTTTCCAATTTTTAGGACATTAGTAAGCTTATAGTTAACATATCTAGAAAAATGTAAATTTGGCTCTTAGTGGAGTTTCGCTTTGTGCTACCCGAATTCCCAGAAATGCTCGCCAGTTAACCAGAACTCAAATATTAAATTTCAAGAAATTCCATCAATTCGTTCCGTATTGGTGAAAAATGTAAAATCGGCCCGCAAATCAGTTTTCGAGCCCTGATCTTTCCAAAAAATTTATATGTTCATTGTTTTAATACGAGGAATTCATGTATTAAATTTCAATGAAATCGGTCAATTATATCCCTTTATATACGCAAAAATGTATATTTGGCTCGTAGTAAACGTCCAGTTGCTGATGCCTGATTTCTTCCAAAAGTTAGGAATTTTAGCGGACGGTCGAGAAAAGCTTATATATGAAATTTCAGGTAAATCGGTTGAATACTTTCTTCAAAATGTTCAAAAATGTCAAACAGGCCTGCTAAAAAGTGCAGTTCCCGAGGTCTGATATATACCAAAAGTTGATCATTCCGTGCCATGGTGGAAATAAACCTGTGTATAAAATTTCATCAAAATCGGTTCAGCAGAACTTGAGATATACGCGTACACGCGAGATAAAAAATAAATAATTATTTATATTAAAAAAATATTAATATACGTGTATACTTGCATGTACATATGTTTAGGCACTATAATGTGTACTAAAATTAAAAAATTTAATTTTTTAATTTTTAATTTTATATATGTACTATGTACATACATACATATGTTCCCAAATATTCAAATATACATAGGTATGATACAAAAGTATGATCACACTTAATTGACAATAACACTTTGCTTTCCTCTTTTACATTATCAAACAGTAATTAACCTATGATAATAACAGGTTGCTTACCACCAATAATTGTCGTAAGTGTAGTCAATTTGTATAAAATAAGTACCGATGTATATGAACATGTACTTGTGCAGAAACGCTCTGCTAATGTGTTAAGCTCATATCAATTTATGAAATTTGTTATTAAATTTTGTAATTATATGCAAATTTTGTTATGAAAGGGTTACTAAGAAAATTTATACAAAAGTTTTCGATTTCAATTTTTAAGTTTTAATAAGATATTATTTTAAATTCATATAATATGGTTAACTAGATGAAATATTTTATAAATAAAATTAAAATAGGGTTAGCATGCAAATTTTAATTGCATATTTTATTGGGACGGTACGAAATGTGTCCGCTACGGAATTTTTTTTTGTTTGATTAATTTGCTTAAGAAAATTCTCTTCATTTTTCAGAGAAATTTAACAGGTGTTTGTAGTGGTATATATGAAAAATTAGAATAAATTAACAAAATTTTAAGTTTTCACTTTTTAAAAGGACTTGTAAAATTTTAAAATGGTTATTTTGTTCTAGATGCGGAGCTTTAACGATTATTTTTACTTTTTATTACTTTAAACAAATCTTATATAACGGGAAAAAGTTTATAAAAAAATTAATTTTGAAGTTATTCAAAAAATTTCATATATAGGAAATAAAGAAATTCCTCCCCTTCATGCGGGGGGTATAAATATATATTGAAATAAGTGAACAAACAGATAAGTGTACTTCATGAAACAAACTAAACATTGAACATCTAAAATCATTGAGCTTTTGCTTCTTAATAAAACTATCGCCAATCAAAATATCTGAAATTCTAAATGGTAGTTTATAAAATTGTATTCTTTACACATTCACCCTGTATAATACCGTGTTAATTTATTGTTTTAGACTTTAATTTTTAAATAATTTCATAATTTGCATGCATACATATATGATAATTTATACCAATTAACTAAATATAGGACTAATCAAATTATAACTAATAGCGAATAAATTAGAAAAAATATAATAAATTAATTAATTGATTATTAAAAAATATAAATTATAAAATTAGAATATTCAAATTAATATTTTGCTAAAACATTACAATTATATTTTTTTCGAATAAAGAAATTTATAATTTAATCTCGTTCAGATAAAAACGTGAAAAAGTTTTTCACGTGTTTGAGAGCTGTTGAGCCAATAATGAAATCAATAGTATTCAAGTCTTCTTTTTTAAAAATTGCATTGTATCAGTCCATGAATTGGTATAAGTCTAAGTAGTTGGTTCAAAATGAATAAACTGAAATTAAAATGTTAAAAATAATGATAGAAAGTACTAAATTTGAAATGTTAAATGAATTTAAATATTTTTGTTTTAAAAATTGAGTTGGAAAATAAAAACATTTTCTTTTACATTTTATACTTACAACATCAATGTGTTAACAGCTTATCAGAAAACAATTGTAAATGCAATATCAGCATAGTTTTTAAAATGAAATATAGTCATCATTCCGACTGCATATATTCGATCGCATTGCATACGTAATAAGGGAGGTTATGTGATGTCACCAAATTTCGGATGTCGAGTATTTGTTGGGAACGCTTTTCTCCATAGTAGGGTGCAATTAAAAAGATAAAGATATTAAAGTGCAAATAAAACTATTTGTAGAGAGATGTCGGTCTGTCTGTCTGTGTGATGTTTTTGAAAAAATTAAAGCTCGGAAACAGAGACTAAGATTTGATTTTACATTTTCTACTATATCTACAGAACTAATTCATGGAATTTCATTGAAATTTGATATTTGAGTTCTGACTGTTACCGAAACTAACTGGCGACCTTTTCAGGAAATTCGAAATGCATAAAGCGAAACACTACTAACAGCCCAACTAACATTTTTTGAGGAATGTTAACTGAAAGCTTACTAGTGTTCTCAAAATGCATGTAGTTATAAAAGAAATGCTTAAAATGCATTTTCTGTAACAGTGCTATTATTTTTATTTTAATTTTCGGTTTCTTCAAAATATTTGAAGTTAAATTATTGCATCTTACAAAATAATAAAAATAGTAATAAAATCAATACGCCCGCGAAAGATTAATAAGAAAGGCCACTTTGTCGCATTTTTTTTGAATATTTTTGTCAATTACTTACATTTTCAATTGACTTTTTCAGGTATATCTTTCGGACTTTAGTTCTATTTTCATTATTTTGTAAGATATGCTACCATAACATTGGGGCGACAAGATGACGGTTACAAAAAATTAAATATACCATAAATATATTTATATGTAAGATTTCTAAAATTCCTATTCCGATATTTATATTGTTCTGGAATTCCTGTTCCGATTTCCGCAAAAGTAAATTGAATAATTATTTTAATGTTAATTAAGACACGTCAAATCAAACTACCCCATATCTTGATAAATATGTACCCACAATTTTTTAAAAAAATTCCCATATTTACAATCTTAAAAAATATTTCTTTTGAATGTTCAAATAAAAATTAGAAAGTCGTTATAACTTATATAGAAAATATTTTATAATTTACGTTGGTGTTACCATTTAACAACATCAAAATTTAAGATGTAACTTCACAAAAATCAAAAAGTTATTTAACGTAGTTTTTTTTTATTTTTCTTCATAGATAATGGCGGTAGTTGAAGTTAGAAATGGCTTCAAGTACTATGGGAACCCGAAAAAACCAGCTATAATATTGAATGGTCTAAATATGACAGTTATGCGGAGTAGTATGTAAGTATATTTTTTCGACAGTAATCAAACAAAAATTACTTTATGACTAATAAATTTACATGAAATTGATTATATAAATAGGATGTGATTTTGTAAAAAAAGAATTTCATGAATTATAATTTAATTTATAATTTTAAACAAATTATATTAGATTGTATAATACCAGCTTATTTAAAATATAATTTAAAGATTAGTTTAGTGTTATGTAAAATTTTTGCTAAATTCAAATCTTTGTACAGGAACAAATTTCAAAATTAAAATTTATAATTCAAGAAAGATATTTACGGGATAATTAATATGCATTGCAACTTTAAGAATCATCAATAATTTTTATTTTTTACCCATTTTATGTTATTACTTATTATACATATATTCTATAATGAACATAATTATTATTAATTAGTTTTGTATTGTAACAATTTTAAAAAAGTTAGAAATTCCAATTTTAAAAAATTTATTACTAAAACGATCACGATTCAACAGTAGTTAAAATCAAATTATATTCAAAATTGAGACTGGATGAAAAACAATTCTAAAGAAATATTATTTTTATATTCTAGTTATGGTTTACTAGGTGCTTCAGGTTGTGGAAAAACAACACTTTTATCCTGTATTGTCGGTCAACGTCAATTAAATAGTGGTGAAATAAAAGTTTTAGGCTTAAAACCAGGTTTACCAGGCAGTGGTATACCCGGACCAAGAGTTGGATACATGCCACAAGTAATTATTCTAGAATGAAAATTTATTTTAATTTTTAAATTTTGAACTTCTTATAATATTTAACAGGATATAGCTTTAGTAGAACAAATGTCAATCAAAGAAATAATTTGGTATTTTGGTCGGATTTATGGTATGACAGATGAGGATATATTTGATAAATTTATTATGTTAAAAAATTTACTTGAATTACCGCCACCACAAAGACTAATTGGAAATTGTAGCGGAGGTCAACAAAGACGAGTCTCATTTGCTTGCGCAATGATTCACATTCCAGAAATATTAATTTTAGATGAACCTACAGTGGGTTTAGATCCAATATTAAGAGAAAGGTATATTAATTCATAATTATTATTTTTGAGTTATGACAAAGTACATATGTATTTATAATTTTAGAATTTGGGATTTTTTAGTAGAAATAACAAAAACAACTAAATGTGCTATAATCATAACAACACATTACATTGAAGAGGCTCGCCAAGCAAACTGTGTAAGCATACTTACTTAAATAATTTCTGCTAATATTTCATGTACCCTCATGAATAAGTTATATGTTATTTTTTAAACTTTTAACAATGAATTTATACTAACATCTTGAACTCTTTGAAGTGTTAGATATATAGTGTCTTATTAAACATTCATAATTATTATATTTATATAGAATGCAAAGCACATATATAATATATATACTAAATATTATATCTAAATATATCATGTATTAAATACATATTTTTATATCTTCTTATATAGATCGGTTTAATGCGTAGTGGAGTTTTATTAGCTGAAAATTCCCCAGAAGAAATACTGACAAAATATGGGTGTAATTCAATTGAAGATGCATTCTTACTTTTAAGTCAAAAACAGGGTAAATCAGACGAAGCACAAAAATCAATAATAAAGGAACAAACACAGAATTCAAATACACCCATTCAAGTGATAACATCTGAAACAAATGAAAAAATTGCAACGTTACAAACAGGGGAAGAATTTCGATTCAAAAAAAGAATGTCATTTCAAGAGCAAAGAGCACCAGGCTTTATAGGCACATTTCATTTTACTTCAACAAGACGGATGAAAGCATTATTAGCTAAAAATTGGGTTCAATTTGTTAGGCAGTCATCGTAAATAAATATTTATTATTTTATTATACATACATACATACATAGTTTAATATAATTTATATATGCATAAAAACAATGTACATGAAATTATTTAATTTTTCGATTTGTTATTTATTTACACATAATTTTTTTTTGTTTCATATTTTTAGGAGCATGGCCTTTGTTTTTATATTTCCACTATTATCATTGATTCCCTTTTTTTTGGCTATTGGGAAAACACCAAAAGGCATTGAAATTGGTATAGTGAATGAAGAAGCCAGCTTACAGCAATGCTATGATGAAACACTTGTCACTGTTACTCGATTCAATGATTCTTGTGAATTTTCAAAAATTTCGTGTCGTTTTATGCAAAATATTGATCAAGATATTACAATACCTGTTAGTATATTTATATAATATATGTACATGTATATATAAAAATATTTTTAATTAATTAATTATATAAGTACATAATATTTAAACAAAAAATTTATTCCATCTATAGGAGCATTCATATATAGATTAATATGAAATTATTTGTAAATAAAATGGCGTAATCGATGGCGTCCAAAACTTTTAAATATTTAATTTAATATTTAAAAAACACATGAGTAAATCTTGTGTGAGTATTACGGTTTATTCAAAAGAAAACGTAATATGTTATTCCTTTGACGTATGCACTTTTTTCAGAATTATCTGAAGTATCTGAATTTAAAATAGTGCCATTGTTGATAGCGCCACCTTTTCTTCGAATATTTCCAAGTTATATACCTAACACAGCCAAAAGTGTAGCCTACTTCCAATAAAAAGTTAGCCAATAAAAAATTTTTTGCCTTTTAGTTCCCCTTACTCCTGAATCCGCAATGCAAAACCATCAACATTAAACATTGATATTATTCATGTGCATATAAACAAAACTAATATTCCTACATACGTACATACGTACACAAATGTAAACTTTTAATTTTTAATATTTTTACATCTTATGTAATTCGTATGAGAGGAAGATATTAAATTATTTGCATGATTTCTTAAATTAAATTATTCATTGTAAAATAATTATTATTTATACACATGTCCAATACAAGCTCTCATAGTTTCAAATGTACTGTATATTTTAATTCATTGTATAATCTTCCATTTTAGGTATATTATAGTTCGGAGGCGGAAGCATATAAAGCAGCGAATGAAGCACAGGTTGCAGGTTACATTCGTTTTTCACATAATTTTTCAGAAGCAATGCAATCTGTTTTAGATGAAAGACAATTTACTGAAGATTGGAATATCAATAACTTTCAAATATTGGTACGCCTAGATATGTCAGGTAAATACAATCTGCAACTACAACATTGTTTTAAGCATTAAGTCATCTGTTTAATATAAAATTTGCAATTATGAAAGGATTTCCTCAAAAATTTTGGACCGTCTACTAGAGAATTATTTATAAAAATATTTCCCATTTTTTTTTCTAAAATTAAAATGCTTTTAATCACCCACTTAAAATTTTTTTCAAGATCATTGGCAAACTTTCAAAAACTTTCTATCGCATTCAATAGACAATTTAAAGAAATGAAGTTAGACATGATACACATAAAAAAATACATGCATACTTCTATAATGATATGAAGGTCATTATTATTTTTCATATATCCATTTATAAATTCAAAAAACGTGCGTATGTTTTCCTTATTACATTGAAGTAAAAGAGAGCTAATAAATTCAATTTCATTTCAATTAGCAAAAAATTAAAATAAAATAAGAAATACATACATACATACATATGTATGTACATACACGTATACATACATATGTAATTAAATGAATAAAACAAACAAGTCTTCTTTTTCTATCGGCAGATTTCTGAGCAGTGTTTTACTGTCTTGTTAAACTTTAAGTGCAAATTTATGTTCTGAAATAGAATTAATAATATTCATTCACCGATACTATTTAGTATCTAGAACTTCTTTCCTTAAAGTTTATAAAATAATATTTGGATTCAATAACCAATAAAAGATAACAAAAACATAATTATGTTTTGCACAATTCAATGCAATTTTTATGTAGGAAATACTATATTCTTACATAATATAAAAATAAGACAAACAATGTGTTTTATACATAGATATATGTATGTGTGTAGAAAGTAAACAGTATGCAATATTGAGAGCCAAAAAAATACCAAAAAATACTATGATTAACTTAATATTTAAATTATTTTACTTGATATTCAAATTAATTAACCTGTAATATTAAAAAAACTTCAGATTTTATCTGAACCCCCCACAAACACTAAATGTATATATTATCTATGTACATATATAGGTACTATAACTGTGCGACCAAAGTCGTATCTCATAGAAAAATCTAATTTCATATTTTATTTTTAATTTTTAATTTTGTTTTATTAGATCAACAAATTGCATATCATCTCGAAAGGAAGCTTCATGAAGCTTATAAATCATTTATGCAAGATATTATGGTTGATTGTGGAATACCGAAGCATTTTGCAAATATTCCCGTACACTTTTTAAAACCAATTTATGGATCATTTGACGAAGAATATCAAAAATTTATAATACCTGGAATACTTATAACGTAAGACAAAAGTATATAAAAAATAATTTAATAACTCGTATATGAACATTTGCAATTATTTTGTACATTTTTTCGTTGATTATTTTCTTAATATAGAATTGTTTTTTTCATCGTAACACTAACAACAGCATCGACATTCATTAGTGAGCGTGCTGACGGTATTTGGGATAGAACTTTAGTCGCAGGTTTAATTCCTTTTAACATACATTTTAATTCTTTTGAAAGCGTTTGATTTTATTTATTTATTTTTTTTTTGTATAAATTAAAGGGATATCTACAAGTGAAATGTTATTGGCTCATATCATATCGCAGAGTTTAATTGTAATAATACAATGTTTTGAGGTAATTTTCTTTGTAGCTTTTGTATTTAATGTCCAAAGTAATGGTGATTCAGCTTTACTTATTTGGTTGCTGGTGTCAATTGGATTTTGTGGAATGTTATTCGGTAAATTATATACACATACATACATATATTTTTTTTGAAGAACCTCAATTTAATATTGGAATTTTTTAGGATTATTAATATCAATATATAGCACGTCACACACAGTTGCCAATTTTGTAACGACAGGAGCATTTTATCCTATGATAATTCTTTCAGGTAAATTTGCTAATATTATTATCATTTTATGCATACTTTAATGTTTATAATTTTAAAAATCAATTTTTTTTTTTTGACATTTTCTTAATTATAAAATTAATATTTGATTTGCGTTTTGTATATCTCTTTGTAGGCATATTGTGGCCATTGGAAGGAATGAATTCATTCTTAAGACATGCTGTAAAATTACTTCCATTTACATTACCTATAATTTCAGCTAGAAATATTATAGAAAAAGGTTGGAGCATAACAGATTTAGATGTGAGTAAAGGTTTTATAGCAATAGGAATTTGGATTTTTATCTTTGCTGTACTTTGCGTATTTGGCCTTAGGCGAAGATCATAGTTTTAATTTTTTTTATATAAAGTTACTTATATAATATAAGTTAAATTATATAATTTAAGTCCATTATATTATATAGTTCATCTTTCACTATATAGAAAATGTTCACATTAAAAAACCATTTATTGAAAATTATATATTTTAAGTACTAGCGAAACTTTGTAATTTTTAGTAAGAATTTAGTAATCTAAAAAAAGGTGATAAAAATGGATTTCTTTTCTTTTTTTTGTAATTTTATGTAGAAAAAATTATTTCAAACTACAATATATATATAGTATTTTATAAATTGGAAGTTTTAATTTGTTTTTAAAACTTTAAAATCTTAGGCAGTTATTTGTATAAAAAAAACAACTTATTTTTAGATAAAATTTAGAAAAATAAGTGAAGTTTGATTCCATGTAATTATTTAAAAGGGATAAATTTCTATAAAATTTAATAATATAACTTTCTAACCAGCCAACAAAATTCTGTTTAACAGTTCAAATAATGAAATATAACTATTACCATAATAATATACTGGTGTGAAAGTCACTTGCTATATATGTGCATACATATGTACATGCATATTTGAAATTTTAATATAAAAACTACGTTATTTGAAAACTAGGTATAAATTTTTCAGTAAAAATTTGAAATCCGGAAATTCAATGGCCCATCGTGTTGAAACAAATATTAACTTTTTGTTTTTGAATCAAAATAAATTTTCCTTTTTAAAAAATATTGAGAAGTTTTGTGATGTTTCTCTTTTTCCAAATTGTTTTTAGTGGTAAGTTTATGTACGATTGTATTAGTTTAATTTTCAATAAACTCTGTAATAAAAAAAAATTTCTTGCCGTTTTAAATCTAAATTAAGTATGTATATTGAAGAACATAAAAACCATTATGGCACTGCATCATTTAAATATCGGTTAAATATTTTTCTGGTTTTCCGAAACTTATTTAGAGCTCTCACTCACTTGAAGGTGTTTCAGATGGGGATGGTGTACCTCAACTATTTTCCAATTTATCGAACATTTATAAATCTGACCTAAAAAAAATAACAAATAGAATTTTCACATATTTTACATAGTCTAGAAAATCGTACACATTCATTTTTTTCAAATCTGTTATGGTATTAAGAACAATAAATAAATGATTCCTCTAATTAGCTATTTATAGTTTAAGTTCGATTTATTGTTATACTAAAAAGGTTACAAAAACCTTATACAAATGGTATTAAGACTAATGAAAGTAAAACAACGCTAATACAATAATTCAGTGTCTCCAACTTATTTATACTTATGACTAATTTAAAAAAAAATATATTTATATATATAAATATATATATATACATACATATATATATCAATATATATAATTGTATAAAATTACTAAACAAAGCTAAAACAAAATAAAAAAATAAAAAAAAAATAACTCTTAAAAAAATTAAAATAATATTAAAAAAAAAAAATAACTCATAAATTTATTTTTGAAACAAGATAATATATAAAGCTAAACTAAAATAAATGATGTTATGAAATTTAATGAAATTGTTCGAAATTGGTGCGTTCTTAAAAATAAATTATGAAGGATTGTTATTTTCATTTTCTTGTTAGTTCAACTTTCTTGCTCATTTATTTTTGGAATTTCCAAAAAAATTATTGAGCAACAAAGCGCATTTCTACCATAGAAAGTGTAAACTTCATAATTTTTTTAAAAACAAGCATTCTGCAAGGTTTTTTCTTTAGAATTTATTTTCAAAAATTTACAATTTTTTTTTTTGTTTTACAACTTAAAAAAAACTCCTTTTTTTATTTGTTGATTTTTTTTTTTCTTTTTTTTTTTTGGGACACTGGTACTATTATATTTAGATAATTTTCTTATATTTAAATTCAAGACGTCCGGCAGTCTACAATAGAATATTTTCAATTAGCATTAAATTGTTTTTATTTTTTTCTTGCTCTGCATGTATTCAAATACAAATTATTTAAGCATTTTATCAAGCATCAAAGAAATAAATAATGGCGGAAAAGGACGAGGTTAAGAGACGTTGCATTTCAATCAAACAAAAAAAAAAAATAATAAAATTAAATATATATACTTAAAAAGTTTCCATTTATTTTATTCAAAATTTTCTACAGAAAAATATTGTATAAGTATGGGAGGGCGAGAAAAAAAAATTGTTTACCATTTTCTTTTTTTTTTTAATAGAAACAATTTCTTGATTGAATCGTATGTATATTTACTTTTTTTTTGTTTTTAATTATAGCTTAAAATAATTTTTGAGACTAGATCCTTTATAGAAAATAACTAGACGTCTTTAAAATAATAAAATGATTCGCACTATAATGTTCTTATTTGTATTTTATTTATTTAGTTTCTTTTATTTTCTTTTTTTGTGTTAAATCGCATTTATAAACATTTTTGAATTTAAAATGAAATTATGAGAAAATCGAATGAATTTTTTTTTTATGTTTTTTTCTTTTTTTGTAAACTTCAATTCATAATATATATATATATATATATATACATATATATATATTGTGACAATTTGGATATCTATGTAAAAAGAATATTTTTATTAGAAGTTTATTTTTTTACTATAATATTATAATAATCGAACAAATGAAAAAAATAAGCTTTTAATTTGCATTATTTTATTTGCTGATAAGATTAAAAAGATCAAATTTCAACTCAATTTAATGTTTGTTTTTAGTTTAATGAACTTTCTTTTTAGTTGGATGATGTTTTAAATCAAGTTTAAAAATTACTTTTTAATGACTTCATTTTATTTTTGTTTTGCAATTATTTATTTGTTTCTTTTTTTGATTTTTTTTTTTTGGTTTTTTGTAAGGATAGGTTTATTTCCCATCTTTTTCTTTTTATTTATTGAGAAAATTGTATCGAGAAATTTTTATAAGAAAATTTTAATGTTTCTTTGCTTGTTTGGTCCTTAAAACCTAAAATATACATACATTATTAAAAAGGAACTTATTATTATAGTTTTTTTTTATTTTATTTACCAATTTTTTTTTATATATATTCATTCTTTAAATAATTTTTTTGTTTTATGTCTTGATTATATATAATCAACTTAAATTTTACAAAAATAATTATAATAGTAATAATAAAAAATTATACAAAAATAAAAAAATAATAAAATAAAAATAATTTAAAAAATAAGCTAATTTTATGCGTATTGATTACAATTTTTTGTGTTTTTTTTTTCTTTCTTTTTAAATATGTATATAATTATATAACGAAAATTACTTTACCATTTTACATTAAAATAAATCTTAAATTGATTTTTTTTATTTAATTTTATTTTTTTTTTATTTTTTTATTTTACAAATAATCAATTAGTTATACATTATGTAAATATAAAATTTGTCAAAATAATTACAGAATATGAAACAGATGAGAAACATATAAAAAGTTTTACAGCAATAAATTTTGTAGTTTCCGGTAAGGAAAAAAACTTTTTCTTCATTTTTTCAATTTGTTTTGTGTTTTTGTTTTTTCTTTAAATGCAAGCATTTTACTTAATTTTTTTTTTGTATTTTTAATAATGCCGACAATTAAATTTACTTAAATACTTTGTGCAAACAATTTTTTTAATTAATTTTTTTTCTCTTTTTTTTTTTTTTTGTAAACAAAATGAATTTTGAAGCCTTAAGTACATTATTTCAGAATAAAATAGCAAACGTCTAAGTTCCGACATTGTTTTAGTAAGAGTTAGATTCAACAATTTTTGTATGGAATATTGTATTGTGCAAGAAAAAAAATAAAAACAAACAATAGTGAAATGATCGAGCCTGACAATTTTGTTTTGGTACTTTAGTAAAATATTTTGTTACACATCGCTTTGTTATTTAATTTGAATTAAATTAAAATAGAAGCAAATGAGAATAATTTAGAAGCAATTTAGATAAATTAAGACTTATGCATATATTTTTGTGAATATCATAATTTGAGTTAAAATTAAAAAATATTACATGAATGCTTTTCCCCCTAAAATCTTTATTTTTTTAATTTTACTATAAATCTATTTTTCTAAAAGATTTCGGGGATTGTATAAAATTAAAAAAAAACAAAAAATAAGTAAAATTAAAATAATTATACATTTTATTTATGCTTATAAAATAGTTTATTGTACTTTAGTTTCAAATTAAAAATAATTAAAAAAATATTCGGATTTCAGCATTAAGGAATGAAATAAATTTTTTAAATGCAATAAGATGTAGATTGTACGCATACTTAATTGTTGTAAATTTATGAGATAAAAAAAAGAGAGTTAATTTTTAGTAATCCTAAAAGGACCACGGCCCTCAACTATATCGGAACTTTTGTTATTGATGTTCGTAATTTTGTTAAGAAATAATGATCTTGTGTGTGTACTAGCCTTTTTGTTTTTTTTTTCTAAACAAAACAAAATACAAGTAAATTACAAAAATTTTCTTTTAGTATTTTATATAATTAAAATTTGCAAAAACAAAGACTTATAGTTAGACCACAATAGCGGATTTATAAATATTTTTTGTATTTTTTTTTTTTTTTTGATGTTTTTTTTTTAATGATGTACATGTAATATTAAACATATTGCATATTTTTTAATTATTATATATTTTTTGTTTAATAAAATGAAAGTATAAATTAAATGCTTTTTTTTTACTGCCTTGTGCTTTTTAATATAAATATTTTTTTTTGTTTTTTAATGGTTTTTTTTTTTTGTTTTTAATATGTATTTAGTTAATAAAAATTTTATAAACTCTTTTCAATGCTGTTTTGTATATATGTATGTAATGATTCTAATATCCTCGTTATGAATTTGTGTATGTATTTGATTTATATTTTTTATAAATTGAATATAATTGTTTAGTGATCATTTCTGTTTAATATTTTTTGTAATTTGATGGATTATAATGTAGCGAATTTATTTTTATGTTTTGATTTAAAAAGATGTTCCTTAATAATCTTGTTTCCTCTTTTTTGTATTTAAATAAATTAAATTATAGAATCCTTATTAAATATTAGTTTTATGACCTAAATTTTTATTTAGTTATGTTTTGTTTTTGAAATTTCGTTTTTTTTCTTGGTTTTTATTAATTTGGATTAGTTAATTACTTGTTGTTTTAAATTTATATTTTCTATTTGGTTTTTTTTTTTAATTTCTTTATTTTAATATAGAGTACTGATTTGTGATTTATTTTTTATGTAAACATGTATTATATTTATATATATATTTAAATATATGTATAAATATTTATATATATAATTTTAATTCCATACACGTAAAAATGAATCCCATGATCCCGTTGCTACCGCCATGCCGTTTTCGGTAACACCTAAGCATGAAACTCTGTTATCATGACCAGCTAATATGCCTGCACGTTCAGCTTTCATAGTGTCCCATACATTACAATTGAAATCATCATAACCAGCCAATAATAATCTACCGCTTTTTGAGAATGCAGCTGAAGTGATTCCACATATGATATTGTCATGAGAATACATAGCCAATTCTTGATCTGCACGAATATCGAATAAACGACATGTAGCATCATCTGAACCTGTAGCAAATGCTTGACCATTAGGAAAGAATGTAACAGCGTTTATATCGCTTTCATGTCCTGGGAAAGTTTGCTTACAAACTCCTTCACGAATATCCCAAAGTTTTGCAGATGCATCACATGCACCTGATACGAATGTTCTACATTGGGGTGCCAATGAAAGAGCCATTACATCACCTGTATGTCCCATGAATGATGTAACTTGTTGTCCGGTTTCTATGTCCCAGAGACCACAAGTCATATCACCTGAACTAGTTACTATTTGATTATCATCCAAAAATCGACAACATGATAAATATCCAGTGTGCCCAAGCAACTCCCGGGATACTCTTACATTACCTTCTCTTGTTTTTAAACTATATATTGAACATATATTATCAAGACCACCACAGGCAACAAAACTACCAGATGGAGCATATGCGCATGTCATGACCCATGATGAACGTAAAGGAATGGCATGCACCTTATTAGTTGTATGTGAGTCCCAAACGATTAATTTACCATCTTGAGATGCAGAAACTAGATTTCTTGAATCACTTCCCCAATGCATGGCATAAATTTTAGCTAGATGACCTCGAAGTGTACGCCTAGTTCGCATTTGTATACGTCCGATTGGTTCAAGATTATTTGTTGCTTGCACCAAACTGGTATCGCATGCTGCTTTTCTTGCATCGCGAATTGCATTTTTAAGAGATTCAGCTTCCTGTCTTAAACTGTCTAGTTCATTCATTTTTATTTAATTTGTTTATAATTAAACTTTATTGATTTTTAATGAAATCAAAAATGTTTTTTTTCTTCTTTTTAATTATGTAGAAAAAGTAATTTTTCTGAAAAAAAAAAACTAATCGAATGCACTGCCGCGCCCACTTCTCTTGCTGTCACTACACTTATTCCTTATAACACTGAAAATTTATGAGGATTTACTCCATACTTTTTGCAGATAGGTTGTAAAAAAAATTTTCAAAGCTAATTTCAAAGCCAATTACTAATAATAGCTACTTAAAATTTTATTTCTGTTACTTTAAATCACTTTAACTCAATTTATATATTTTATTTAAATTTATTAATATAAATATTTATTAATTTAAGTGTTTTTTTAATGTTCTTTAATGGCAGTCGATTTTACCTTTAGTAAAATGTCATTTTATGTATCCTATCCTTTTAGTATAAAAAATAGGCTATATCTTTCGTCTCTTTTTTTTCTATATAAAATAAAGCGAAGTATAACTATTTCAAAGAGCAGCCATTTTCAAGAATATTAAAATGCCAAACTTATCGTTTTAATCCACAATCTTGCTTATTTGCACAATTTTTTTTTAATAATTTAATTTTTAGCTCGTTGCGGAATACATACAAAATAGCTTAATTTATTGATTGCACTATAATTTGTTCGAAAGTAAATAAATATTTACAACTTTGTTTTAGCACAAATATAATATAAATTTGCAACTAATCCTATTGTGGTGCTATCTATGATTCATTAATTAAACACGAATCTACAAAATACAACAAAAAATATTTCTAATTGGACTGGTTATCGATAAATATGAGTTAAAAATCAAAAATTAGTGTCACCGTTTTAGTATTAAGTGTTAACTTGTGAAGTTAAAGTGAGGACGAAGGAGTCATTTTCATATATAGCTGGTTGTTTTCATGCCACAACGTTGATTTTGCACATTAAACTGCTATTTTATATATTATATGAATAGTGAGCAATTAATACAAAACGTCTAATATTAATATCAACTTAGTTAAAATTTTAAAACATTCTCAAAATTTTAAGTATGTTATTCCATTTTGACGAATATGACTTATATGTCCTTAAAAGCAATTGATGTTCATTTAAGTCATTTTTGTTAAAAGTGGCTGTTTGAAGCAATTAGTTTGCTTATGTAAAGACTAATATAATTTTTCTTAAGAAGCATATCTTAAAAAAGACCTCCATTATACAAATGTACAACACAATCTTCATTCGTGTATATTAAGAAGGAATCCTGTTTAATAATCTATGAATCCCCTATCAGAATCATTTGAGCAAGCAAAAATTTTCTAAATAGCGAGCATTTTTTCAGAAAACATATGTTTTGACAAATATTTTTTGATGCTAGATTTTTAAAATGAGATTTCTTTAGAAAACTACATCTATTTTTTCCTTATACGCTCCACCTAGTTCGTGCTATTCGTTATTTTTAGATAAACTCATTTCATAGTCACTGGGCAAATTCATTGAGCTATCTATATCAATAAAGAAAAGAGAAGAGGACGAAAGTTACAAACAAAATGTAAATACAAAAATTTAACTAAACACTGAAATAATATGTAAAACACTTTAGTAATTTCGCATCACAAATTTTAGTTAATTTGACTAATTAAAAAATAACACCAATTTTCAAAGTTGCCAGTAATTTAGCATTCCAAAAAAGTAAATGACAATTGATATTACATAAACTTTCTTGCCAATTTTTTGTGCACGTAAACTCTCGGCTAAAAATATTACGTTAAAATTTTGTTTTAATTTTTTTTTTGACAGTAACGCTGACAGTATAGTTTTATTTTTATAACAATTAAGTTCATTGTTAGAAAAGAAGAAAAATTAATTTTTTATTTACTTCTTATTGATTTTGATAATAATATATAATTTGTGTAGTGTTATTATTTGTAATAAAGTTTTAATAGTTATATGCCTCCAGCAATTAAAGCTATAAAATGCATGTAAACATAGATCCAAATTTTGTTGATAGTATGGTTAATGAAGTGAAGTCTCAGGGTACGTAAAATAAAATATGTAGTAAATACATATGTACGTTAAAAATTTTATACCTATCATTTCACTTTTTTAAGTATGTACCTATATAAGATAATGTGATTTTCCATCATAAAATAATGATGATGTTTGCAATAATTCTATTCAAAAACTGTTTGATTTGTTTATTTAACTTGCCTAATAGGATTGTTCGACGCTTTTAGGAGAGACTCAATGGCAGACGTAGACACAAAGCCAGCTTATCAAAACCTAAAGCAGAGAGTTGAAAATACGGTGACTAAATTTTTATCGGAGCAAAAGTGGACTCCAGAGTTAAATAAAAATCAAATGCGTGAAAAGCTTCGCAAACACATTATTGAGTGAGCTTAAACCTGTTTATAGTTATAAAATGTATAAAAATTTTTGTATTTAATTTTAGAGCCGGTTTTCTGGATGTTGGTGTTCAACGCATAGTTGATCAAGTGGTTAATCCTAAAATTTCTACAGTCTTTCAACCAAGAATTGAAGATATTGTGTATAAATATTTAGGAATTGATAAACCTGAATTGAAATCTGAACCGAAAAACGAATCATATGATTTACATGAAAGTTTAACAATCCATACAGACTTATTACCGAATGACTTAGAAGCAGTTAGTCCTGATTCCGATAAATCAACAGCTAAATTTGATACACGGTTAGAAAAAAATTATGAAATTCAAGAAGAACATGAGGAAGAAGATGACGAATCACCACCGTTTGAACCATTAGAGGGGCGCAGTCCATCGAAAGTTAAAGAAGAAGATGCTAACACTTATTCACATTTGTCAGGAATTAGTGGCCTTACATCTCAGTCAGGAATACCTAATGAATTTAAAAATGAGAGGAGAGAAGAGAAAAATGATTCAAAAGAGGGATTTGAAAAAAGTGATCTTCAACCAAATAGTATTGGAGAATACGCTCAAGAATCTCAACTTTCTCAAGTATCAAGTAATAGCAGATTATCAATTGTGTCTGGTGACGATGAAAGAAATCAAAAGAATGGAAATTATGTTCAAGAAAGCTCTACTAATGTTGATTTATCAGAAGAAGCTCAAATGCCGAAGTTTAATGACAATTCTAATTCTTACCATCCACCTGCCGGAGAAACTTTACATTTTGACATAAAAAAAGATGAAATTAAATTTGAAGGTTTGTAAATTAATTTTATTTTAATCTAAAATTATATTTGAATTTTGGCAATACTTTGGGTATCATTTCTAGGAACTGATAGAAATAATGATATTTTACCACCTGTGTACCAGAGTGAAATGCTGGAACGAACTGATGAGAAAAATCTATTAGATATTAACCGGCAAATGAGCTTGACTCAAACGTTGGAAGAAGCTTCTAATGGTACTTTCAACACGGAATCTCAAAATTCGACCTATTTTGATGATGACTCAGAAAGGGGGGTTCTGCAAATTATTGAAGATCCTACCCAAGATTATTCCAGGGAACCATCTCGGCCATCATCAAGTATATTTCAAAAGCCAGAAACAAAGGATGAGAAGAATGATGAAAATGTTTATACAAATAAACAAGCTTCAGATGGTCAAGAGTTGCAAGAGAAGAAATGTGATATTCCAGAAAATAGATCTAATTCTGTTTTGAAAAACAACAATAATAATGGAAAAGTTGAACATTACACTCAAAGCAAAGTAGAATCTAATGAAAAGTCATTGAAATATGACGAGAAAGCAAAATTATCTAAATCCTCAAGCTCCAATAGACATTCAACTTCATCATCATCACACAAAAGTCATAAGTCTAAAGATAGAAAATCTGATAGAGAAAAAGACAAAGGAAGAAAAAGTTCATCTAGTGATTCAAAGATATCTTCAGAAAGTTCTCAAACTAAAAATCAAGTCAGTAGTCGCCACTCAACACCGCTTTCCTTAAATTCATTAAAAGAAGTTAAAGAAATAAAATCCAATGGCAGTACCCAACATAAAAGTACCTGTAGCAATAAATACGCATCTTCATCATCGATAGGTAAAAATGAGAAACAGAAAAGCTCCGAAAGAGACCGGAAACGTGATTACGAACGCTCGCGCGATGAGAAATCTTCAAAATCCGAAAAGCAAAAGCCAAAGGAATATGATGATCATTCTTCTGAAAAAAATAAACGTCATCACAGAAAGTCTACTGATTCAAATGATGGTGACAAAAAGGGGTATTTAAGTACTAAAGGACAAAAATATTCTAAAACAATATCAACTAAATCGAGTGAAGACACCAAAACTGATAATAACGAACTTAATAATCAGCAAAATTCCACTAATACTTCAGATAAAAATGGCGGTGAAGGTAATTGATTTTAAAATACATAATTTTGTTTTTTAGCTTTTTATAATTATTTTCTCATCGAATACTGCTTTAAATAATCACTTAAAAATTCTGATTAATAATTTTATATAATTAACATGTTTCTTTTAGTTCAAAAAGATATCATATCTTCTTCACCCAAGGCAGTAGAATTTCCAGTAAAATCTCCAGTGAAAGAAACATTAAAATTTAACATGTCTAATCCAATAATGATAGATAATTTAAATATGGAAAATATAGAATTTATTATAGGTTCTAATGCTACACATGTTCAAAAGGTTGTGTTGGATGAATTAATAACACAAGTTCCTACCTATCAAACCGAAAATATACAAAGTAATGAAGTTCGAAATGATTTAGGCATGAATAAAAGTAACGTAGAAATGAATAGTTCAAGTTCCATACTTCAAAAAATAACCACAACCGACATTATTCTTCCAATAAATAAAAACACTTGTGAAAAAAATCGATTTGAATCCTTGATATCACCACCTCCTAAGAAACGAAAATATGATATGAGTTTCAATAGTTTATTACAAAATTCTAATGCTTATATACCTAATATAAGGTCGAGTGATGATGATAGTGAAATAAACCTTTTTGGCTTCGATATACAGGAAGAACAAGAAAATTACAATAAAATAATCAAGAATTATGAAGAATTTTATGTTAATTGTTTTGAAAATAATTATAAAAGAGAAAGTAACCAGTCAAATGAAAACATCCATAAGTTAAGTACTAACAATTCTTTAATAGAACCAAATTTGCTTCAGAGCACAGTTAACACAGGTCTAAAACCTTCTACCAATAATAATACAACGTCACAACTTTGTCATGAAGAGTTTGAGCTAAAAGGTAAATCTTTGATAATCAATTGTTATGATGATGACATAGTTATTAATCTTTCTAAAAACAAAACTCAAGTGATTCCGTTATCATCTGCCGATGTTTTAAATAGCAAAATTTCTCCATCATTGTCAGATTCAAGTATTGGTTCAAAAGAAAATGAATTTTCAGAAAAGAATAATAATAAAAAAAACAGAGGTAAGCGATTTTTCAAAAATTATAATTATATTAAACACTTGTTGCTTTAAATTGTACTTATAACATTTATTTATATTCATTATCATAACTGTGGAAATCGATTAATGGCTCATGTTCAAAGCAGGACCTAATTAACTATACATTATTTAATAAGAGTAATAATTAACCATTTTATAACAAGATTTGTGTGTAATACTAAAAATTTTTATTTTAATTTAACATATTCATTTTTAGGTGCTGATATTAAAAAAAATGAAAAAAAATCTAATTTACAAACGCTCCTAGCTTCACAAAGGTACACATGTGACGATTTATATAAACCACGCTTAAGCTTAAGTCAAAGATCTAGAAGACGTGCTGTTGACAATGAAATTTAATAACATTTTGTATTAGTGAAATACATGTTGGAAATAAATGTTAATTTAATATATTTGGATTATTGATCTGAATAAATAATTAAAATTATCGTTTTTCTTTAAATTTTTTATTAAATAACTAACGTAAATATACAAAGTTTTAACTTACTAATTAGTCTACTTACTGATTATACTATTAGTCTATTTTTTCCGCCCTTAAATTTTGGTAATATCATTTTTTTGGCATCGCTGTTACGGTTTGCGAAATATGTACATAGAAATAAATTATTCATTGAAAAATTATTAGTTCAAAAATAAAATTTTAGAAAATGAGTTTTTTTTTTTAATAATTTGGGACCTTTAAGTTGTTTTATAGTTTGACGGGGTCGAAAAGCTTCAGTTGTTTCTGTGATCCAGTTCAGTCGTTAGAAAAATTATTTGATTCAAAATACCATTCTCGAAAAAAATCTTATTTCTTTTTTACATCAATTACAAAAATAAATCGAAAAAATTTTTAAATTCATTTTTTAAACTATATGTTGTGGTATTTGAACAAAGAGAACTTTGAATTCGCTTTATGTTAGATAGCTTATTTTAACGTTATATTTAACGCAACGAACGTTATTTTCTATAAAGTGCGTCAAAAAATTTTATCTTCAAGAGACCAACCCTAACTCCTAAATCGTTTGTGGTAGTGGACAATTTTGGAATCATGGTTTTCCTTACCAAATAGGATATACATACATACATATACGCTGATATATTTCTATGCACAACTACACTATACATATATTAGATCCTCTTAATTTTTGAGCGAATATTATTCATAGAAAATTATTATCTACTACTCAATTTCACACAAAAAAATATTATTTGTCAGTTGTAGACAATAAATATTTATTTACATATGTATATGTTTTAACGATTTAATCGTTAGCTGTTTTAAATTTTATTCAAAGTTTTTTTTTAATCCTAATTTTGGAAAAAATAAAACTAAATAAAAAATATTTTTATATCTTTAATTTTTTTTTATATTATACAGTATTTTACAAACATTAGAAGATCAGAACTACAAAAGTTTTTATTCTTCATATTGGTTTAAACTTGTTTTTTGTTTTTCTAGAAATCGAAAGCCTAAATCGCAGTATCTTCCAAAAATTTTAATTTTACCATATCACTTGAGGACACTGGAAATGTTTATTTCTTATTACATACATAAAGTTAAATTTCAAAATAAGTTATTTCAACTATATACTTTAAAAGTATAGGTTTCTTTAAATTCAGTAAATATTTTGATGTGAATTGATAAACTCACGATTTGACATATGTAATTGATAAAATTTTAAAACTATTTGAAAAAATAGTATTTGTATTGTCTTAAACAGAATATTCTTTTTTTGAAGAACATTCAGCTTTATTAACTTTAAAAGAAAAGCTAAAATTTGAACAATAAATTATTACATTAAAGTAATATATTGATATATTACTTTGTAATAAATTGAAATATTTAAAAAATGTCGTAAAAAAAAGACTTGAAAAAACAGCAATATATTATAAAATGTGTGCACACATACATCATTAATATTTTCATAAAAATATTAAGATTTGAGCTTAATATCATTCAAATAAAAATTTAATGTTATTTAAAATATGCATTTTATTTACATTAATTTTAAATTGTTGAATTTATTTTGAATTGATTGGTTTTTAGCTGATCTAAAAAAAATTGTTGTTTTTAAAGACTTACTTACTATTTACTAGATGTATTTTATAATGGTCCTAAGGACAAGATTCGTTTAATAAAAGAAATAATTGTTTTTTTTTTAATAGATATATTAAAATATATTTTATATATGTATTTAAATTTTTATTTTTTTTTTTTGCAAATTTTTCCTTGCTTTTAATTGTGGCGCAAGGTGTGATGAACTTGAAAAAGTATTGTTTATAAATCATATTTTTCATTATTATAAAAGGTTTTTTTTTTTAATTTCGTTTCGTGAATTTTGATGCAAGATGGGACAAATATTTTTTTTGAATAATTTAAAAAATACTGTACAAATTTATTTTACAAAACACGAATTAAGGAATAACTAAAGTAAAAAAAAAAAAAGGCCCATTAACAAAAAAAAATTTTTTTTTGGATACCAATGACTCCATAGCCGAAATATCAAAAATAAAAAAGATTTATAATCCAATTTTTATCCCATCTCGAATGAAAATGTCTATCTAATTTTAACTTACTAATTTTATTGTTTAAAATATTTAAATTTTATTTTACATAAACATTTTTTTTTTGTTTTACTTACACGATCAACATATAATTAATTAACAACAATTTTTTTATTTTATTTTTTTACTTTTGTGAAAAAGAAAACAAACAACTAATTACATTTGTTTTTTTTTTACTATTAAAAATTAACAATTTTTTTTTATGTATTTTAAGGAAATCTAAATTTTTTCTTTTTTTTTTTCATATTTTAATATATTTTTTTCTGTATTTTTTTTTTTTAATTTTATATTTTAAATTACTTTTATAATTTTATTGAAAAATTATAAAAAAATAATTTTAAAACATAATATCGCAAAATATTTCTTTCTGGATTAAGATATAATGCAATTCAATTTTAAATTTAGATTATTTGTTTTTCATATAAATTTTTTTTAAATCACAATAAAATGAATTAAACTGGCTATTTTAATAACAGAAAAAGAGTAATTACGGAGAAAGATAAAAATAAAATGTTGATAAAAAGTTTGTGCTACATAAAGTAAAGGCAGTGTTTTAATAATATGAAAATCGAAAATAATTTCATAGTTTTTCAAATTTAAAATTAAAATATTGGTAAGTTTTGCAAATTGAAAAAGAGGTAAATTACCCAAATTAAAATCAAAATTTATATCATTTGCCACAATACATACTTTATCACAAATGTAATAACATATTCGCTAGCTTGGTAGTGTCTGAATAATATCAACATATTAAATAAATTCTCTTTTGATTTTATAGTATTATGAAAACGTTTGGAAAACTAAGTTTCTCTATGGCAAATACATAATTTTTTTTTTATCACATTATTTGTTTTATGTGCCATTGTAATCCAGAAAACCCTAAAATGTAAGAAATAATTATATAATTTAAGGAATTGACATTTTCACAAATTTTTTAAATTTTTCCATTTCTCTTTTAGAAGTCGCTACAATTTTCAAACTTAAATTCATTTGTAAGAATTTAAAGTAACTCTTCCTTTTGTGTTTTTAACTTTTTTTTCTTACTCATATCAACAAATTTTAAAAGTACCAAAATCTAAGTTTATCAATTTTATCAAAAATAAAAGTTTTAATTTAATTCTTTATTATAAGAATAAAAAAATATTCATTTTTTGTTTTAGAACCTTTTTCGCGATGCTAATAAATTAAATTTTTTGTTTTTTTTTTTTTTTTTGCAAAAAGTCATTTATGAATTTCATAGAAAAATTTATGTACGCAAGTATATACATAAAATAATATAATATATGATTTGGCATATGTATATATTTCAATTTATATATATACACAACCTATTAACCAAATAATACAGATCTAGATTAGCAAATTTCGTATATTTCATATACTTTAATTGATTACTTTGATTTTTGCTTGTTTTTCATAAATCTAAAAAACTATATAATAAAATATTAAAAAGAAATTTAATAAACATTAAACCAAACATTATATTTTATTGACCAGTAAAACCTCGCTCATAGGGTCGCTTAACCTCTGTATGCCTGGTATTCAAATTTAATGTTGGATATATACTATTTTCGCTAGATAATTCACATACAGTTTTAATAGATGACCCAGAGGAGGTATTTCCGCCACTATTATTAGTTGAATTTTCTCGTATCGTCGTTGTCGATGATGATGATGATGATGGTGACACCGATGAAATTGCATTTGATATTGATGTTGAAGAAGCTGATGGCAATTTTGTTATATCCTCAATTATAACAGCATCTGATGCTGCGCTAACAACATTTGATGTTGGTATTACATAACGTATTGGCTCTTTAGCAACGATAGCCGCTGTTGACATTATAGTTTCATTTGTTGACTGAAGTGATGGTTGTAATGAGCTTTTACCAGATATAGAGGATTTATAATCTTCATGACTTCCACCCCATAAATAAAATTTAAAGAATTCATATGATGACCAACAAATTGCTGTTGCTGGCATTGAGTATAAAACTCTTGCACCTAAACCTTTAAAAAATCCTAGTGGGCCTGCCATATTATAAATCTATAAATTTACAAGCAAGGGATATAAATAACATTAAAAAAACATTTTTTTAAATGAAAATTTAACTTACTTTACGTATCGCGTCTGACATTCCTTTTGTCCCAGTCTCTTGAGTATTGAGTAACGTTTTTACAACATCCAATGGAGTAGTAATCGCAGATGCACACGCTCCAGCTGCTCCACCTGCTACCACATGTACTGGGGGATTGTATTTCCTATCATGATTTAACTGAGAAAAAATTTTAATATCATAATTCTTACGAAAGTGCTTATTTACTATTTACCATATTTTGAAAGAATTCATATGTCATAAAGTGTATTGACTGATGCGGTAAATTCATGACCAATTGTGTTGTATAAGATCGATAAAAAGCTTTTATACCTTCATTCTTATATACACCTCTCATACATTGAATAACAGATTTATAAGGGGAGTTATACATTTGCATACGCTGCTTAATGACCTCGGTTGGATTTGAAATTCCATCATGTATGAGAGTTGCTGTTACTGCTGAAAATACTGAAATTAAATAGTTTATTATTACTGTTGATTAAGTGATAAATATTTAATTATTTTTACATACTGTAATTAAAATGATTATTTGTAGTAAATTTTGTCATTGATTCTTTCGTAAACTCATATGTTGCAAAATAAAAAGCATGAGCTGGTCCTGCGCCAGCAACAACAGCTGTCACCCCTCGAACTGGTCTAAAAAAATATATAAAATTATAAAAAATCATTAATGAAAACATTATAAAAATTTAAACATTTTTAAATAATGGTATTAATATTATACTACTTAAGATTAATAAATTTACCTGAGAATACCTTCTTTTTTTATCATATTTGATAACGTTCTTCCAATACTGTAACTAGATGTTTGAGGAGATAAGCTTTGCATTCTTGTCTACATATACAGAGTTAGACAGGGTAGAAAAAATTTTTTAATTCTTTTTTTTTAACAAAAAAAATCATTTTATATTTTATATTTATGTATCTATTGTGGACTGGAAAATATTTTTTCAGAAACATTTTACATATATTCCAACTAAGTCCCATCTCTTCTCCTTTTTCCCCGCTAATCTAAAACATTACTATAAAAAAAAAGAGGATACGGGCGAAGGTTATTATAGTTGCACAAATTATTAATTATCGTGAAGATTAGTAAATTTATGAATTTTATTACAAAATTAATTACCAAATTTTTTAAATTTCATGTAGATCATATGCATGTTTATACATATGTATATCTTCTAAAATTAAATATTTCTTTGTTATACATATATCCGTTGTGTAGTACAAGTCTATTAATGTACTTATACTACCTACTACTTTCAAAACGATAATAATTATTTATTTTCATTTAATATTTACTTATGTATTTATTTATTTATTCAAAAAATTCATAAAAAGAACCATTTGACTCGTGGGGAATTTAAATTTAAGTTTATGTAATTTAAAAATTTAATATAATATTTGATAATTTAAAAGTAATTGCTAAAATAATTAAAAATATGTATGACAATCATTTATGAAAAGATTTTCAAATACTTAAACAATAATAATTAAAAAAAGCAAATATTATATATTTAAAAACAATATTTCCTAAAATAATCTTAGAAATCTATTTGGAACTCGAAATTCAATTACAAATATATTTTTGTATAGGGAACAACTAAAAACAAAGCGTTCTGAATTTGTAGTTTTATGATTAATTCATTTTATTCTGAAAATTGTAAATTTTTTTATTATAAAAGTCCCATAACATCAAATGATTTGTCTAAGAGAATGTAAATTATTAATTATCTATTAGATTGGAGTCGTAAATAAAAACTTTTTCTGAAATTTTGTTAATTTCGCTTGAAAATAAATTGAAGTACGCATGGTACTTTGTTATTTTTATTATTTAAAAATTAATTTGCGATTTTATAAAAAAAAATAGCTTTTGCTTTTAAAAATGTTACTAATGTGCAATAAATTGTAATAAGACGAAAGAAATGTGGCTAAATCATTCCTTATATAACTTAGAATTGAGCTACTTGATATTGTAAACTTTATTTTTTATACCTAGATAATACTTACATATGATGCATAGTCAGGCCCGGTTCTGATGTATTCGTCGCCCTAAGCGGTTCCTAAAAAGTGCGCCCCCACCCCCCCCCCCCCCCTTCAACCTTTTCACCTATTTTATTACTGTGAACAAAATTTAATAGGCATTGCACATTGTGCATCATAAAGCAGTTTCTTGTAACCTTATGGTGCTGAATTATAGAATTAAAGTCTGGAACTAAACTTTCAATTTTTTGTTCTATAAATTCAAAAACAAGGTAATTTATTTAACTGTACGTTTTTTTATGAAGTTATGATCAGATTTATATCAATCACTTAAACTTGATTTTTTGATTTTAACAACCAAAAAATTTACTTTTTGACGTAAGTGAAACTTATTGTAAAAGGTTCTATGAAAATTATATCAAATGAACTTTTTCACAGCTTATTTGAATATGAAAAAAAGTAAAAAATTATTTTTATTTTTATTCGTAAAATTTGGCTTTTTATTTCACAAATCGCCTGAGAAATGAAGCAGCGTATAAAAAAAGTTTCGACTTGCATTCAAAAATTTAAGGAAAATCAAAGTTTCGTTCTAAAATTTGTGACTTAAAAACTAAGCTTTTCATGTACATAGCTATAAGCTTTTATACTGTTCATTATATTTTTTAGATTTTATTAAAATAAATGTATTTACTGGTATTTATAGGCTCGTGGTTTTGAAATTTCAGAATGTCGTTTTGCTTAACTGTTTTAATTTTGGAGATAAATGTGTGAAGCAAATTATGCGCCATTTCATTTTACTCTTATTTTTTGGATGACTTACACTACATCAATTCAGCATAAAAATTCTTAACATTCACTTGATTATTAAACAACATTTTTTCAATTCAACATAAGTAGTAGATTTTATCAATTAAAATTAAATTCTGTGATTGATAACAGTTTTTTCAAAAACGAAAGCAGAACATAGTAGTAGAAATTCATAACGATCATGTAATTTTAAAATTCATTCAAAATTTTTTGTTGTTAAACAAAAACAAAATATTGGTATACACAATCTCAATATCAAGCTATGCTTTCCATCATTTAAGAATATTGCTCTCATTCTCTTTTTCTAATTTCTTTCTATTCTCATTCTTAATTTGTGTTTTTTTTGTTTTGTTCTTGTTGTTTACTAATGCAATAGTATACAGAAAAGTAATACATTATAATAATGTGTTTGTTTGTTTGGTGAGTGGGCGACAACTAAGCAAAAATAAAATTTTGCATGTATGAAACAATTTAAATATAATGTGTACGAACGAGTGTAGCCACTAAGCATAATAAAAACATTGCTTTGTGATATAATTATATGTGTACGAGCGAGTGTTGATAGGGAGCAATCTCAGCAAAATAAAAATTTTGCTTTATGAGATAATTATATGTGTACGCATGAGTGTTGATCTTATTCATATTAGACAATATAAATTATGTGTACATGTGTATTTTTGAATATTTTTATTTGTTGCGTACATTGCTTCTATATATGTATGTATATTATATGAGACGATTTCACTTATATATATGAACGTTTGAATGTATACAGCTGTGTGAAATAATATTCTGTGTTTATAGGCATATAAAGTACATAAAAAATAAGAATGAAAGAGTAGTGTAGAGTAAAGAAATGTATGAGTAATTTTAATTCTATGAACATTTTTTGTTATATGGTGCAAATAGAAAATATGTGTAGGAACAAAATATTATGTTTGCATGTAGGTAGATTTTATTAAGTTAATTTCGCTATAAATTGATGTATAAAAAAAAACTTGGAATCCTTTTTTTTGGGTGAAAATTTTTTTTTTTAAATTTAGGGGTTTTTTAAGTTTTCAATGGCGCCCCTATTTTTTATCGCCCATTGCAAATGCATACTTTGCATGTATGATAAATCCGGGGCTGTGCATAGTGTTTGATATGTATATATTTTAAATGCAAATCAAGCATATAACTAATTAATAAATACTAAATACGTATATTAAAGAAAATTATAGGCTATTCTGATGCAGAAAAAAGTACATGTACAAACTCCATTGAAAAAAAGCTTTATTATATTACAATTGATTTTTTTTTGTATAAAGATTTTTATTTACAACCGAATTTTGTGCTACACTTAATATTGAAATGATAATATTTTATTTCAAAAAATGTTGTAATAACGAATTTTGATCAGGTTTCATTTACAAATAAACTTGTTAATTACAACTATGTATTATCGAGTGAGTATCCAATATATGTTATCCAATATTGTAACTAAAAACTATTGTGTGGTTTATATTTGAAAAAATTTATAAAATTATTACGATAATATTAAGAAAGAAGTAATCACATAAAATACCTATTTGAAAAAATTAAAATATATACATATTGCTTTTCCCAAAAATTAAATTAATTGATTTACCTAAATAATTCTGAAATTTTTTAATTGTTCCATCAAGTTTTTAACAAATTTTGAAAATTAATATATGCAAGTAAAAATGATTATAAAAAATTAAAGTAAATTTAGAATATCATGAAAGTCGACTTTTTTATCCCGTAAAACACCGATATTTTGTAATTCTCATTTTCAATTACATTAGCTGTATATGTACGCCCCGGAAAAATTGCAATATTCTGAAGCGTTTGAGTAGTAGGCGAGGTACCACCTCGTACTCACATTTAATTTTAAGATAGTTAGAACAATTGATTAACAAATAATATGTATGTATGTATATCAAGGACTTTGAGGAAACTCTCTATCCAGTATAAGACAAAAATTTCAAATATTTTGCAATTAACAGAAAGCAATCTACCAAATTCATATTGATTATTACCTAATTGCAATGTTATGAATAATTAAATATTTTTTGATTTTTAAATAATTATATATTAACTTTCTTTCTAATTTTAATTTTATTAATTTTGGAGTTTTCCCAAATTTTTATTTAACTTATCAAAATTTAAATTTTTTATCAAAAATATTAATTATAATTTATTCCTCCTTTATTTCAATTTAAATTTTTTTCAAGTATTATTGTTTTCAAATAAATTTTATATACATATGTATGTATAGAGGATTTATAGGGGAAGCCCTATTTTGGAACTTATAGCGGAAACCCCTTTTAAGGGGCTTATGAGGAGATAAGAAATATTTCAAAATTGCTTGCTATTACTTAAGAAGAGAAAATCTAACCTACACTAAATTCACATTACTTATAATTGCTATATTTTGAAAAATAAAGTATCTTCCTTTTAAATAACAATCAACATATTATGCAATAAATACTATTTATAGTAGAGCAAAATAGTATTTAAGAATATTTTTTCAAATTATTTCAAAAATTTTGAAATGTGGAAAATTATGGGTTTTCCCCATAAGTCTTTGATATGTATGTAAAAGGAAATTTGAATATTTTCCAAATCAAAACCTATTAGAAAAGCAAATAAAAAACTTTAGATCAAAAGCAATAATACTCTGATTATGGCAATGCAAACTTATTACCGTGTAATAGTTTAGTAACGTAATTTCGAAAAAGGGAATCACCCAGAAAAAAATTCATTATCTGATTTTACTGAGACAATATGAATCAGCTTTTTTCAAAGTTATATAATAAAATTATTTTCATTATTTGTTAAAATAAATCAAAATCAAAATAAACAAAACTTATGAACACATAAAGAATTTTCATAAGAATTGTGAAATTATTCACGAATGTTCATTGTTGAATAAAAATCGCAATGTTAAGTTTTTTATTTGACAAACAATAAGGATGAAAAAAAAATACTTTTTATCTTATTTCTTCTATGATAAGAATTATTTATAAAATGTTTTATCTACACGTCTTGAAAAGAGAGCATACGTAAAAAAAATAAACAAATTTAATTGGAAAAACTTTAAATACCAATGTGGATTGAAATTTAAAATTATTTTATTTTAAAATTTTATATTTTTACCCGCTCTGTATAAGCAACTTTTTCAAAAAGTAAAAATTAAAATAAATGAAAGCATTTTGCAGATTAATATAGAATTATTCATTCGAAAAAAAGTTTTAAACTTCACCAAAAAAAAACACGTTTAAGTCATAAAATCATAACATAATACGAGTATGTACCTATCTACATTCAGGTAACATAAGTCATTTATAATTTAAGGTAAAAGTAACAAAACTGATAAGCACAACTACTTATTTAGATTAATTTTCGTACATTTTCTTTTAGCATACCCTCTTCTTATTTATTAATCAAACTCATACTTTGATAACAAATAGTTAAAATGATAGTAAATAAAACTTCAAAATATCAAAGATTTTAACTTGAATTAAGATAAATTTAGAATAGTCATTCTGTTTACAAAATCAAGAACATAAATACATGTATTAGTAAGTTTACAAAAATTAATATTTCTTCTTTCACAAGTATGTAGATACCTTATTCATTTATACTGATAACAATTTTCAATTATCAACTATTACATATTTACGTGCATTGATCAGTATGCTATAAATAAATATGTTTTGATTGATTATAGTAATTTGCTTTGCCGCTATTATATTGAAATTGTAACCTATCATAGTAGAACTACGAAAGTTGAATATATTATATTTATTATAAGTACAGGAATAGCTTAATTGCAATTAATTAAACATACATAGAAGTTTCTATCTACCTACCTACTTATTTTAAAAATTGACTCTTAAAGTTCGATCGCTTTTAATTAAAATAATAACTAAAAAATTTTGATAATTACTTCATTTATTTTCCCGGTATAGCACTTTTGAATATTTAATGAACAATTTATTATAATTTGATTATAGATATTTATATACATACATATGTAGCTATAAATTACTAGTAAAAAGCTAGGCTACCTGTTTACTTTAAATAAAAACTAGGAAAAAAAACATGCTATACAATTTCGATATTTATTTATGTACCCAAATGTATGTACATGTGATTGTAGGTTCCTACATACATATGTACATAAATGTTTGCGAATAAGATATTTGCGTATTAATATCACTTTCGAAAATTAAAGCTTTATTTTTTTGATAGCATTAAGTCATGAATATAAAACAAAATATTTTTCAAAACACACTGAGTTTTTTCGACATTTTATAATGAATAAATAATTTTATTATGAATAGCAAAAATAAAAGTAGATATTTTTAACATTACAGGCACTATTTTAAGAACGCGAATGCAAATTTGTTTTCCTAATTTCAAAAAAATTTTATGACTATTCGATAACTTTGTAACATAACAATTTGAAAAAATACCCCGGCTCTTAACAAATATTATGAACTATATCCAAAAATATATGGTTAATTGAATATATCAAGGCTATAGAAAATTACCCTCTAACCAAATCCAAAAAAAAAAATTAAAAATTACATCACAGCACATTTTTGAGGTTATATTCACCTCTTCCTAAATATTTTCAAAATTGGACTTATGTTGGAATATTGTTGCTCAAAGTACCATCAAAAAATTTCCGAATTACATTTTTTTTTTCGTTAATTACCTTCACTGAATCTAATGGATACATTACGCAATGTTCTAAGACACCAGCAATTGCTCCAGCGGTCATATTTGTACCAATACTTGTTGTTGGTAAGGATTCATAATCGTCAAAATTCATTTTGATATTCTTTTTCCGAAAAAAATAATTCAATATAAAAGGATTTAAAAAAAAAAAATTGTTAATTTGCATTACATTTTGATTGTAAAATAATAAAAATTCTAAAAATTAAAACCTTTGATCAAATTTTTTATAATTTCAAAGTAAAAATTTCACTTACCTTATTATTCGATACCTTTATATCAATAGCAATATGAATTGAAATTATTTCCAAGACCTTAAATTAATTGAATATTTATTGAACCCGATGTTTAATCCAAATCATAAAATATTTTATTTAAGAAATAATTTTAAGAGTTTCCTAATTTCGTGACATAATTTATAAACAATACTTTAACTTTGCCACAATTTTCTTTTTTCCTTATTCCAATATAGATTTATTACATCCAATCAAAATTTAATGGTTCACCTATTCATGCCACAATTTTCTGTGCATTTGAGCAGGAAAAATTTGCATTTAAAATATTGACATCTGTGACATATAAATATAAGTGACAGGTGTGATTAAATTTAACGAAAAATTATGAGCTTATCTTCTTCGTTAAATAAAATTCCCTTCAATTTTTTCGGTAAAATTTAAATATTCACGATTTCATTTTAAATTTTAAATTAACGATATGCGCTTTATATCACGATTAGGATAATTCATTCTTAATATAGCTTTGCAAAAAAAATTTTCAAACTGTTGACTTTTTAATGTTATTGGAAACCTAATAAAATTTTGTTCATATTATAGAAGAATAAGAAAACTTGATATTAAGCCGGATTCATTGGTTCGTCGTTCTTGAGCTGAACTATTTGTAGCCAAACTACTTTTTCTCTTGATTGTTCGTTGGTTCGTCTGAAAAAAGCTGATGGTTTTTTTTATTATGATGCATTTATTACTTTTTTGAAAAGAATTATATGTGATTGTAATAGTTCAGTATACGTAAATTTAACGTTTTTAAAAACCTCCGCACTAAAGTTGAAGTTGATTCAACTTTTTGAGAGAGAGAAAAAAAACTGTGCTAAAAATAAAGAGAATGTCAAAAATTCAAATTTTCATATAACACATCAGCTCGCCATGAAAGTGACGAACCAGTGAATTCAGCTCAATCCTCGATAAATAAGTTATAGAACATTGTAACGACACTATTATATTTAAATATTTTGACATAACTTTGTTTTGTTATTAATTGAAATTATTTTAAGAAATGTTAAAGTGATCTTTGCCAATTTTAATTTTTTGAACTCAAATTTTTTAAAAAATTTCTTTGATATGAGAAAAAAAATCCGAAAAATATTATTGATATAGAATAAAAACAGAAAAGTTTAATTTTAAATAGTTTAATTAAAAAAAATTAATTTTTAGCACTCTCGTTCTTTTCTAACTTTTTATGGAACATGACAATTGTTTCTATTTTGATTGTCAAATAGATTAATTATGATCTTTACAGTAAAAAAGAAAATCGATTTGCTTCTTTATGTGTAGGTACTTATAAATATTTTTTTAATTCATACGAAGCATAATATGTTAATATTAGTTTAAAAAATTTTTTTAAGGAATAAGTTAATTTTTAGGTTAGAATATTAATTTGACAAGTCTACGTTTTTGTCTCGAATAAATTTCTTTCCCCGATGACATCACATTTAAAAACGTCATTGTTATCATGAAGATATTTGTACTAAATCAAAGCTTTTCTTTTGTGAATATAAAAGAAAACTTTATACTGGTTTAATTTTTTATTAGGAAAAATAAAATATCGTATGTATGTATACATCTATTTTTGTCTTGAAATTTGTTTCTTTTGATCGTTAGCTAGAATTGAACAGTTTTGACTTAGTTTACTAAAATTCATAAACTCCATGTAAATCAGTTTTTTGTCAGAAATTTGGCCTATATAAAGGCCTAGTTAAAATGATGTTTTAATTTTTTTCTTTGCAGAATACGGTTTTGTGTCAAATTGAGTTTTACTATTCAGTAATTTTGAAAAATTAATAAAAATAAGACTATCAAACTGTAATTTGTAAATTAATTGTTAAACTTACAAAAAATATTAAATTCTTCACTATTCTCTATAAGTTATAATATCGCTAACTCATTTAAAGTAATATTTATTGCTTGCAAAATATTGCAGTAATAAAAGTAAAGCCAATTTATGTTTTGTTTTAAGTGGGGATAATATGATGTTCACAGAAATAAGAACTTATTTAATAATGAATTTGTGATTTTTTAAAAAAATATGCAAGTAATGTTTTATTTTCATTTAATGTGACATTTAAAATAACAAATTTCAAAAGTGAATATAATATAATATGTATGTACACAGTGGATTTATTTTCTCTAACCATGTAAAATCAAAATTAATAATTTTTTTTGAAACGGACTTAAATTTTTAAATTCAACTAAAAACTATTAAATTTAATTGGCAGTTCTATATACAATGTATGTAAGTATATGTATGTACTTAAAAAATTAAATAAATTAACTGATGTAAAACTTATTTTTTTTATTTTATTTCAATAATGAGTAAGTAAATAACAAACAAGCTTATTAAAAAAAATATACATAATAATTTGTACCTATATTTAAAATCAAAATAATATTTAACAATTGAAATTGAGTGTTATAATAATTTTTGGACGCCATTATTACAAAAAACAAATTATACTACGGATTTATATTTTTATACTATTGTTTATACATGTTCCTCTTTACATTTTAAATTAAATAACTTTAAAACTAATTATTGTCTTAATGTCTTTTGTTTCTAAATATTGAATTTTAGGAAATTAAAGTAACATAAACACATTTTTAGTTTTTTCTTTTTATAGTCCTTTATTGTAATAAACAGTTTTTATTTCTGGATTCTTTTTTCTAATTTCTTCTTGAACTTCCTTTTCTAGCTTAGAAACCTATAATTTCATAAATAGTGGTTTAGATAAAATTTTTCATTTAGAAGAAGACAAATCTTACGTCAATTGAGGCCCATTGCTTAAAGAAAGCGCATCCTAAAGGCGTGGAAAATATCAAAACAAATCCACAAAATAGGGTTTGAACTGGTGCAGGAGCCCATGGATATTTTACGAAGAATCCTCGGCGTGACAGACGTTCCATCAAAATAGGACATGCCACTATAAATAAAAAAAATGTAAAAATTTATATTTTCAAAGTTAACCCAATTAAAAAAAGGTTTCATTCCCAAATTTAATTTTAAGCTTACAACTCGTAAAGAATCATTTATTTTATATAGTATTTTAGATGCAATGTACGTGTTCAAATATTTTTTATTTAAAAAAAATATTTTTTTCGTATTTGTCAAGTAATTAACGTATATGAGAAAAGTAGACCAAATTTTAGCAAATTGAATTTGAAATTTCAATAAAATAAAATTGCTATTTAATTTTATTAGTTACCCTGAAAGATTTTAGTACTTACACATCGAAGGAAAAGCCATTGATATTCGACTTAAAACAACTGCTGTAATTCCTGTACGTGCTGCATTTTTTGATTGACCCAATATATTGTTATTTTCGTCATATATTGTTGTTCCTTGCTCAAGTTCACTGGAAAAAAGAAAATTTTTAATATAATTTTAATTTCTAAAATTTAATTCAATGTATTCTATTTAATATATAATTATTTACATTGATCTCATCATTGGAATGTTTATGCAATTTGCAGACGCAACCGCTATTAAAGGTACAAGTCTTCCAATTAATGGGTTCAAATTCTAAATAGATACAGTATGTTTATAGAATATTCATGAGAAAATTTGAATTTTAGTATTCAAGTACACTCATTTATTACCTTTACCAAACGATTAAATGTCAATGCAGTAGCTAAAGCACCACCCGTTGCGAAACAGTATGATTTAACTAATTGTCTACAAATAAAAAACTGTTTAAAATTATTATATAAATTTTATATAAAACATAATTTACTCTTTTGGTACAGGATCTGCTCCAGATCGATTTGTATAGTTGACAACTGCATTAAATGTTTGATTTACCCACTGCCAAAATATAACAGTTGGGGTTGTTTTGTAAAAAGTCATCATACCTTGAATAAAGTAGAAAAAATTTTTTTTTAAATTCCTTGCTTAGACAATTACTTTGAGCTCGTAAAGTGAAATCATTTTTAGATACGTACATCCTGTAATCAAAGTATTCATAGGTACTTGAGCTGACATTCTTCCAATTAAAATAGATTTTTCACCAGTTTCCGGGTGAAATGCCGAATCATACAAATATTTTGCTTTCCATAAATCATCTACAGTCTTACATTCTGGAACAGATTCTTTATTGCGATATTTTTGAACAATTGCTTTAGCTCTTTCTAATTCAGCATTTGATGCCAATAAATTTAGGGGATTTGTTAATAAAAAAAAATGCTTAGCTCTGTTGACATAGGTAGTGGGATCATATCTTGGTCCATCAATATTAATATCACTTGGAATGCTCATGTTTAAAGAAAAAAAGTCTGAAATAAAAAAAAGTTATTTTTTTTTATAGATAAGCATTTATTAATTAACTAAAAAACTATTAAAAATTTATGTTTATATTTGTAAGTAGCTGGTTAATTCAAGAGCATTAATATCGTTGTTATCAAATTGTTTTTAAAATGCAATTTGATAATGTAAGCTTACAGACAATTATTTTATAATTCGGAATTATTTTATATTGATTAAAATACATAGATTATTATGTATTTTTTTTTAGAATGGATTTTGTTAGATTTTAGACCAAGCTACAAAACAACCTATAATAATTCAAAAAGTCAACAACAATGTTAAATGAACATATTATTATGTACCTATATGCTAAATATGTATTATTTAACATAATATATGCGATAAATATCAAACACTGTTTTAATCTCGTGAGTACCTACATACTTCTTTTTTTTTTTGAATTTGATAATATTCTAAATTTTGTATAAAAATTAATTTTCTGTTTTAATAATTTGTTTCTAAAAGTATTTCAATCTACCAAATTTTAAATTATCACTATTATTATTTCATCAATTAAGTCAAGGTCATGAGGTTAAACCGATATTTCTAACAATTAGTTGATAATAAAAATAGAAATTAATCAATAATATAAGTAAAGAGGAGGTATGTCGATTATTTTGAAAATGTTTTAAGTCCAAATCTTCGACAGTTAAGTTGAAGTTATGTACTTACATAGAAATGTATGTATAATTAGATTGTACAAAAAGTATTGATTTTTTTTTTTATTTTTGAAAAGAATTATTGTTTAACATTCTTTAAAGCCCGATGTTAAATCGAAATGGGTAATATTTTGCATGTATTCAGTGACATGATCTGCAACGCCAATAACGGTATGTTTAATTATAAATACACAATAAAAAATCAAGTAAGTATGTATACCCTAGGTATACCTATGTACATGTCTACCATATTTTAATTGAATCGCGTAGAATTAATATTTTACATATGGTCCATACATATATCTTCTTTATTTCATTAAAATCAACTTAAAATATTTTTGAAACAAAGAATCAAATACATATGTATGTTACAAATAATACGTATATTTTGATGCCCAGAATTAACAAAAGCTTAATTATCTCCATTTAATAGAGTATATTTTTCAATTAAACGTAATATTCATAAACATTTTAAATATTGTAAAAAAAATAACAAATACATTCATGAACATAACATTCTAAATTAAATTATAACTGAAATATTATTACATAATTTCGCCTTTATTTAACTGACCTTGAATTTTAAAGTGGGTATCCTAAGTGGTAGAAATTTGGAATTTAGGGTTGATGCTTTGATTATTTTTTGATGCTCACTCCCGCTAATACAGGTATTTTTTTTTTAAATGGTGGCAGTGTTTTTATCCTATGTTATAATATGCAAGTTAATATGTAGATATTTTTTTTCCGGCTGATTTTTGTGTTAAAAATCAATTCAAACTATCTATTTACTTAGTACATATGTAGGTATACATTCACTATATATTAAAATATTAATTCTTTCACTATATGCTTGTTTATATCAGGACGAACACCAATCTTTTAAATACAAAATCAACATTAAAACTGATTGTAGGAAAATAATTGAGCTTGATGAAATAAGTATGTATCAAGAACAACAGAGCAACTTTGCTATTGCTGATAAAAATACATTCATAAAAATCAATTCCAAAATAATATTTTCCTTCGTCATCAAAAGAGCTTTTGACAACTTGCCTTGTTTTCGTTTTGATATTGCCAGTAGTATATTATTCTCTTAATTATTTAAAAATTTCAATTAAAAAACATAAAGTTAAGAGTTAAAACTTTATTTTCCAAAACTTACGTAATTATTAATTATTAATTGATATTTTTGAAATATGTTTAAAATTTATCACTGTTCAATATATATTATAATAATTATAGAATTAATTATAGATATGGAATTGTGCAAATTATTACAATAAGATCTTAATATTAAAAATTTCATTATAATGAAATTAAATTATTAAATCGCTAAGTAGCGAAAGTACAAATTAAATTTTAACTCAGTTGTCTTGGAAAATATATTACTTTGTTTCGCAAATTTTATTTTTTTTTACCAAAAATTATTATTGAATTTTGGACAAGTTGTATTTATTTGAATATATACTTTGAAGTTAATGAAGATAGTTCAATTATTATTTATTGAAGTTATTTTAAAACTAACCTCAACGACCAACGTTTATTATTATCCGTCCTTTTATATAATTTACTTATTTGAAATTGTGGCATATTGTAGCAATTGTTCTTTCATATGGTTGATAAAGTTACACAGTTAATGAACTAATAGAATAAAAAATCAGCTGATAGTCAAAAATTAAAATTTTAATAAATATTCTAAAATCTGTTAATATACATACATACATATTATATGCACAAAAAAGAATTTTAAAATAAAACATTTGTGTTGATAATATCAAACAGTTTTATTTATTTTTTATTTTTACCGAAAACAATGTTTCAAAAATTAATCTTTTTTATTAAATTTCTATTTCACATGTAATTGCGTTAATTATATATAATTGAAATAAAAATATAAACAATTATGTAATTGAAATAAAAAAAACTACTTTTTATGCACTAATATATAAGAAAATAGTGCAGAAAAAAGCTTGTAATTAAGGAGTTTCTGAAGGTGATTTGAAAAAAAGCATATGGTAAAATTTTTCTTTGATTCAAATCTAAATACAATTCAGATAATTCTTTAACTTACAATTTAATTTATGAATAACTGGCAATGCTAATTAAATTTTTACTCTCCGTTTATTTTTTTATAAAAAAACACAAACAAAAATGCCAACAGCTGTTTCTTATATAACAAAAAATAATCATAAATTTTATGAAAGAAAAAGAATGTGTAAGCAACAAGTTCAATAGCTTCTCTTTAAAAAAATTCTGGAAGGTATACACACTTTTTTGTTTTTGTGTATAACAATATGATATGTATAACAATATTATGTTTGTTTAACATCATACATAAATGTGTTGTTGAAAAAATTTCTAGTTAAAAATTATGAAAGAAAAATATTTTTACTAAATCTAAAACAATAATAGGCATGACGTCATTGTGACATTGTCTCATAAATTTAAGAAACTCTTTTTGAGAATAATCTATAATAATGTAATATTATAAATTCAGTTTTACTATCTTAGATTATATTCTATCAACTGTCTTAATATTTAGTATTCCCGCTGAATTGTAGAATCATACGTGAATTGAGCACACAACCACATTATGTATATACATTTATGTGTATAAAAGTTTGCGTTTGTTAAATCATACATTGTGATGTAATATCAAACATTGCTCATGTATCTTGCTTTATTTGATTTTAATTCGATGAACGTTTGATTAGTTAATGTTCATCAAAGAAAGTCCGTGAATAGTGTTTAATGTCAAGCATTCAAGTCCTCGACTGCATTAAGCAAAAACACAGTAATTGAAATAAAGTTTTTAAAAAAATTAAGCAAAATGTAAAAACAGTTGAGATTTTTAAGAAAGTCATTTTAAATTGTAAATAATATACTCGTACTTACCTATATTACTTTTAATTTTAATTAAAAAGTAACACCTACTTCCTTTTATGCAAACAATATTTCTTTTTTTTGTAGTAGTGGTTAACTTTGCCTTTGTCGTCAGAATTGCCACACAAAAATTAAAATTGTATGACTAAAATAATATTAACAAGTATGTTAAAATAACCAGCGTTGCAATTTCTACCTGTCCTACCATTTTTTAATGGGTTTTTGGCAATTGTTTTAGTTTTGAAATTGTTTCACTTATAATATTCGACAAAAGGCTAATGGATGTTAAATATTCAATGTGTTATAGCTTAAATTAACTCTATATTAGCATGTACATTATAATATTTTTATGTACAAGAGTATTGCGTTGAATAATTCCGTATTCTTTTATTTTGAATTTAAATTTTTTCTTTTTATTTATAAACCAAAAAGACACCTTCACAAAGAAAAAAATATGATTTTCTTAGTACAGATACTTACTTATAACATCAAAAATATATTTTGTTATTATAATTGCGCAAATCCATTTTCATATATAATTACATGTGTACATATGTACATACAGAGCTTAGTTAGCAATGAAACTCTGAAGATAATAAACGTATCTTCAAGATTGAGGACCCAAAAATTTCTCTGATATTAAGTGAATACTAATTCGATTTTTTTAACTATAATTTTCATTTAATTTTACATATTATAAAAGCTATTTTACAAATGTATATATATATATATATATATATATATACTTCTTTGAAGTCATTTTAGTTTTTTTTTAACAATTTTCAAATCTTTTTTTTAACAAAATTCTAAATACAGTAAGTGTTCTTATATAAAATAATAAAATGTAGCTGAGTTCATCACCATAAGTACAACTTATTCAATATGTCATAGCTATACCCTCGCATCAAAGCCATAACTGTATCTAAATAGAATTTAAGTACCTATTTATGTATGTATGTATATATTAAAAAATTGCTCAACCAAATTTAATTACGCATAATATAATTAGACCAGAGGTTATTCTCTTAAGAGAATACCTTGACGTATAGATAAAATAATTTAGTTAATAACTGAATAAAATATAATATATATATACCTATGTTTGTATGTATATGTGCATAATAAGAAAGTATAAATATATTTACATACACGTACATACGTTTCTATATGCGGCACAAATTGAAAACAAGTTGTCTTCTAAAAATAATTTAAATATACATCAAATGTGAATACACTATATGAACATATTGTATGTAGATAATATAAATGACCTTGAACGTATTGAACTGTTGAACGACGTTTAAAATTATAACGCGCATAATAATCAATTTTTAATATTTAATATAATAATGTATTCAACTAACGATGACACAAAAATATTTCAATTTTCATTTTATTTTATAGATGTTGCAAGTAGTAACTATTTTCCAATAGGTTTTATTCCAATAAATTAACATAGTAATACGAGTATACATACATCATTTATAACTTATTTCGAAAACTAACAGAAGTATATATTATGCATTAAATGTAATTGAAAAAATTTTGTTTAATAATTTTAATTAATAAGCTTCTACCAACTTGCTGTATTTTGTTGCGCGAGATTGTTTTTTTTACAACCTATTCGGAAATTGGTTAAAAAATAACATTCATATTTTTCTTTACGTGAGCTAATTAGATTCATGGCTTTTGAAATTCCCCTTTAACAATATTGTAGCTTTCTAAGGTCTTTAAACTGAATAATGAAAAAGTTTTATTGAAATATGTATATGTGTACTACAAATTTTTTTCTTAGTACATAATTTTGCATAAAGTTAGGAGAAATCTTGAATTTTTAAAAAATTATGAATATTAAATTTTCCAAAGCAATTTATATCAGTATAAAAAAACAAGAAAATTATATTACAAAATTTAGTTAAGGCGTAAGGGTGTACTTTTGGGTAAAAGGATAGTAACTGTATATTTTTACTATAATAGAAGTTTGATTGAGCTTATTTTATAATGTAAAAGAAATAGGGGATCGAAGATTAACCTTTTGTAAACTTTGGAGGATAAAATATTTATCAATACCCTTAATTTTTAAGCGATCAATGTTTTTTAAAATAACGATTGAATGAGAAATTTTGTGAATTTATACTAATATAGTCTCCGAGAACTCCATTGTCAATTTTTATTATAAAATTTATTTAAAGCATCTTTTTTTAATAAACAGTTAGGAAATGTATTTAATTTATTATAATGCACCAAGAAGGAAGAAATTTTCCATATAGTGTAATTTTACTCAAACTAATAAAATTTTAAGCTGTCTGATAATAATGAAAAAATAAAAACGCTTCTTAATCAAAGAAACTTTTGTTACATTAAAAATTTTTCCATTATTTTAAAAAATAATTTTGTTAATGAATATGATCTTCTTAGCAATTTACTTAAACATGATTTTTTTATTTTAAATTTTTTAATTAAAAAACATAACCTCAATTCAGGAAAAAGAAAATTTATATAAAATACTTAAAAGAAAAAATGAGGTGAAAATTTAAAACAATTAATCCATTTCAAAAAAACAAATTTGATGCGAACAGCACATAATTAAAATTGACCGTATTGCTAAAGTATTGCAGAAGATTATGAAAATTTAATTTAAACATTTATCAAATTTTATGAAAGATTAAAAGTAGACTTTTGTTAATGTATCTAAAAAAAATTTAAATTTGGTTCTTAGTGAGAGCCAGGTTGTCAACAACCAGAACTCAAATTTCAAGTACTGTCAAGATATGGTCAATTAATCATTTGATTACTTTTATAAAAATAGTCAAAAACGTAATATTTCAGAAGTTGATCAAACTCTCTCATCCTTATCGTAAACTTAGATATAAATGAAAATCGGCCCGGCCGAACTTAAGGTACTCATCTGCATGGACAGACAGATCGACATAAATTTCCCAAAAAATAGTTCAATTACGCTTCCCTATCATGGAAAAATGCGTTTCCTTCGAAAATTCGACATGTGGAATTTGGTGCCATCATATACTCTCTCTTGTTGTATGCAATGCGGTAGATAAAAATTTTATTTAAATGC